AGTAAGAACAACATCTAAGCACCGGTCCATCCACATATCAAATTATCAAAGTAGCGAACACAAATCAAACCAACATGATGAAAGTGACTAGATGAAAATCCCGTGTACCCTCAAGAACGCTTTGCTTATCATAAGAAACCGTTTTGGCCTGTCCTTTGCCTCAAAAGGATTGGGCTATCTTGCTGCACTTTTGCTACTATTATCGTTACTTGCTCGTTACAAATTATCTTGCTATCAAACTACTCTGCTACTTACAATTACAGCACTTGCACACATTATCTTGCTGAAAACCACTTGTCATTTTCTTCTGCTCCTCGTTGGGTTCGGCACTCTTACTTATCGAAAAGAGCTACAATTGATCCCCTATACTTGTGAGTCATCACCCCCTACTTGAGATCCGTCGATTTTAGCACCAACAAGGAGGGTAGGAGCGGAGTGAGAAAATCAAGGCTCGAGGCGGGGTTTTGGGTGAGCCGGTGTGTTTGAGGCCTACGTGCCAGAGCACACTCACAAACCTCCTTTAGCTTTACTTCCGATTTATGAAATTTCAGACTTGAAGTCTGATGATGGCGTTGAATGGTCTAGAGTGTGCTGACCGCATGGTCCGAACATTTTAAAGGTCATATTGATGCATGGCTTTGGAGTTGCCCTTACCAACACCAGACATGGGGTGTAGTAGCAGACAATGAGCAACATTAGAGCATCTCAACCGTTTGGCGTCCCCAGGGACTGAAATAGTGCCTTCTGGGGGCTAGCCGGTGCTATTTTCGCCATGGGGGCGGTCGGGTTCCCACCCGCCGCCCCAAGTTGGCCCCCAGACGCCGTTTTTTGAAATACAGTTCGGTTAAAATTTGAAGAAAATGACACAGGCCCACGGCGAACCTGGATGAAATTTAGGCGGTTTTCATTCATATTTGTACATAATTAAAACCCTAAAAACTATGCCGCCGCTGCCGTCCCGAGCCTTCTACATGCCGAGGAGCTTGTAGAAGGCGGTGTAGTCGCCGCCACCATCGTAGTCGTCGTCGCTGTCGTCATCTTGGACGTCGGCGTCCTGGCTGCAGCCCTGTCCTGGGTCGCTGAGGCGGACGGGGTTGGACGGCGCGGGCGCCTCCATGTTGCTGTCGTCGAGGATGACGACGTCGTCCTCGTCGCGGCCGCGGTGCCGAGCGGCGATCTCCTCGAGGGCGCAACGCTGGCGCTCCATCTCCTCCCGCACGTAGTCGTCTCACGCCCATTTCAGGCCGGTCTCGAGGTCGGAGGCCATGGCGATGTGCTCCTGCTTGACGACGGGCAGCGTATCCGGCTCCTTCTTTGGCCTGACCAGGCGGAGATGGCCGCGGGGAGGAGGGAAAGGTTGGTGGCGGCAGCCCTCGTTTATGACGAGGTTGCCGCTGTGCCGGCGCTTCGGCGTCTTCTTGGGTCTCGGCCTTGATGGCGGCGAGCGGCGTCAGTGTGCCGGAGGAGTGGGAGCCGGAGGAAGAGGAAGACGCACCCGCCATGCGCCTCGGCAGCCACGAGCTGCCGCTCCGGCACGTGAAGGACGGTGCCGAGTACTCCATCCACGGCGAGTTTCCGCCCTCGATGTGCTCGTGGACGGCGTGGAGAGTGCGCGCGGGGGCGCCCCACCACTGACGGCGGTAGTCGGAGTTGTGGCGTCCCCGTGGTGCCGGAGTGTCGTTCATGGACACGAGCTAGTCGGCGTGGCGGCGCTCGAAGTACGCCGTCCACAGGTTGTTGCTGTTGGGGGCGTACCTCGCCTACTGTCGTGCTTCCTCCGACAGCGCTGACCGGATTCACGCGATCTCGGCACGGCGTTCAACGCCCGGGCGACAGGGGCACAGGGACTCCTCCGGCGCTGAGTCTCCACGAGCCCGACACGCGCATGTCGGGCGACGCCGGGTAGTTCGCCTCGTGGAGGAGGCGTGTCTCCCACTCGTGCAGATGGCGGCGGCGAAGCCGTTGGCCGCCGCTTCGTCGCTGGGGAAACGCTCGGCCATCTGGGAAGGAGGAGAGAGGGCGAGCAAAGGGCGCCGAGGGGAAGAAGGTGGTCGGCGACGAGAGAGCTGTGGGAGGCGGGTGTGCGGCCAGCGGCGACGAAGGGCGTCTTTTATAGCGGCGAGGGGGGCGACAGCAGTGTGGACACGTGACGAGAAGGGGCAGGACGCGCGGCGGTGCACCTTCACTGCGCCACCCGTGATCAATGGAAGGCTGGCAGCGGCAGCCTTCCCATTGATTCGCACGGGAGCCGAGGCAGGGCAATGAGGACAATGTTGCCTAGTCGCTGACTCAGCAGGCCCACGAGGTGGGAATCTGCCGCGGGAAGTTTTGGCGCGTTGGGTTCGACCTAGATCCGCCGGCGCCAATTTCGGCCCTTTGTTCCCCAGTAATGTAATGTGAGGCCCTCTTTGATTTAAAGGATCTATAAAGAAATTTGAAGGATTCTAATCTTTAGGATTTTTCCCTCCATGGGTTGTTTGATACATAGTATTGCAATCCATAGGAATTTTTTCATAGGATTCACTTGTACTAGTTTCCGTAAGAAAATTTCCATCAACCCCAACCTCATGTGAAAAATCCACTTGTACTTGTTTCCGTAAGAAAATTTCCATCAACCCCAACCTCATGTGAAAAATCCTATGTTTTTCTTGCGCACAATCAAACGCTCATACTAATCCTGTAGGATTAAGGATGACATGCCACTCTATTTCTCTATTTTTCCTATTCCTGCATTTTACAAATATTGTGAATCAAAGAGGCCTGATATCCTGTTATCGCAAAAGAAGAAAGTATCGACGACATAACTGCAAGATCGCATGCAGCTTTCCCTATCTTTTACTCTGGAAGCTCAACTGGATGCAGTTACAAGTGCTGGGCTTTCATAGCTGCCATTGGCCAGTTTTGTGTATCTTGGCGGCAATAAGGAATCCACATGGGCGAAGTAGTCTTGCTCCCTGGATGGCTCCATCAATACTGGTGCGTCAAGGACAGAGTCAGGAATGGCGTCAAGAGTTTCCTCCAAGAACTGCACAAGTGTCTGCACATCCAAGAAGCACAGCAAATGGTTTATAGATCCAAACAACAGCGCAGTTGTCTATATCAAAACAACCCAGGTGTCTATTACAACTTGAGAAGCACAACATCATTTTTTACTTAGAGCAGCATGAGAACATGTTACAGTGTGGATATTGCTATTACTGGAGAAGGCCAGCAAAGAGTGTACTCATTTTATAGCTTACCTTGCAGTGGCGCAACGTAGAATCAGCCTTACGTTTCCACAAACTATTACCAGGCTCTGAGTGGAACAAATGTAACAATGGCTGTGTCAAAAGAAGTGCTTCTGTCAGTCATCAATGAACAACCAAGTGTTTGCATAATATCATGTACGTATACAAAATGATGAAAATGCTAATACAGGTGATATAGCAGCTTAAACCAAAATAATACTATTATTATTATAAAACAAAAAATGCAGCACTTGAAACTGCTACATCTTGATTAAGCAGCCGATAATCAAGGATTAACAAATAAATTTTCTTTACCATTGCAAATGCTTTCAAGAAGTTCACTGTCTTTTACCGACTTTCTTTGTTTTTATTTTAAGGTATACACTGCTATTTAATGCATAGAAGCAAACGAACTAGAAAACTCATGCTTTCACACTGCACTACTGTGCACACCGACTTCTAATGAATTACATTGTTACAAGGTAAGGTGAATGCAGTAAAGCCCTCAAATTAAGAGAACTTCAACAAAGTACAGAATACTATGCATAAAATAGCACCTTCAATACCACTGCTCCACGTGATCATAAAATTATGCGATCTGTGTCATTAAATGTAGACTCAACGCTTGTATCAAAGCAAAAAGGGAAAAGAAGAACCTTCACACCTTAACAAGTTGCCTCACGTTTGGCCTGCTGATGCCATACTGTCCAATTATAGAATCACCATAAACTTGGTAGCTCTCAAGGATCTAAAGCAGAGTTCAGTCAATAGAAGACATAGCTCATAAAAGTAAAATTCGAGTCTGATTAATGTTAAACCTGGCGACGCGAAGAGCAAGGTGTTGGCATGCCATAAATTTCACTATCTACGTGCCCCAGCATATTCCATGGACTGCAACATTTATCCACCAAAATGATACTATTAGAACAATAACTGATATTGGAATTAGCATCCCCTACGTAGTTTCCGTCAAAAAAGGAAAACAATAACAAATGGGGTCAACATTAGAAGTTAATGTTGATTGTTGAAAAGGGTACAATTTTTTCAACACATCCACCAACAGTCTTTTTAAGTAGCAAAAATTAGTAATTTACCAGGACGAAAGAGGTTTCCTTGTTATTGGTCTTTCACTTGTCATTCAGTCCCCGTGGTCTGTTTTTGGATGGGCTGATTGAATTGCAATATGTGCCGTATACAGGCAATTGAAATCATGTGTTATTGTGTATTCCCTGTTCAGCACCTACCATAATGATTCTGTTTAATGTTCCTAAGTAATGGAAGCCATCACGTTCAAAGTTGAAATACATTTCAGTACAAGATGAGGAAGTTCACAATAGTATCTTTATACTATTATAAAGATCTGAACTGGTGGCCGCCTGTTCGCCTCTTAAGAATTACGAATCCGTGTTCTCACTCAAGCACCATTCTTGACCTCCTGTTTTAATTCATTATTCTTCAGCAACTATTAAGAAAAGTACTGGCCATTGAGTAGAATTAGGTATTGGGGACCTTGTAGCAGATTGGCTATCAGTGCTATACAAATTGAAGGATTCTATCAGAATTGCCAGTCGAGCTTATGACTTCTTGATTGCCAGAGGGGTGCAGATCTCACCAGCTAGGTTGAAGGCACATTGTGAATAAGTGGGGATGGCCATCTTATCAAGCTGGCGCATCATCTATGAATAGTACAGCTACCTAGTTACATGCGAACCAAATTGGGTGGTACATTCCATAACATGGCCTGACCATTTTCTAAAGCCGGCAACTATAGTTCCTGAGCCCAGGTCAGACCATTTTGGTCAGAGTTGGCCATGACCCATGTGTAAGAAGATGGCGATCCCTTCATTTCTACACGATGTGGATCTACCACTAAAAAAAACATGATGTGGATCTGGTCCTTTCTCCGGTTCTCCGGAAATGAGCTTCAGGGTTTTGTTTGCCCGTGTTAATATGTTACTCTGAATCTCTTTAAATTTTCAAAACTACTGAGATGCATGAAATGAGAGTTGAGTATCGATACAGGGATTTTTCACAATCAAAATGGAAATTCATACTTATTGTAAGCAGCACGACCAACCATAACTTGATGGGCGCCTTGTCTTATGGATGCACTAACCTGCAGCCAAATGAAGGTCTTCAGTGCAACTCACTACTGCAATGTTACAAGTGATTCAAGGTTGAGAAACCAAAATGGTTTGATCATGATTAACTGTACAGTAATGAAATCCTGATAAATTAGCTTGTATGTGCTTGGTAGGAGAATAACCCGACTAAGCCATGCAAAATGTCAATAACTCTGTATCTTGAGATCCCTTTATAGATATATCCAAATCAAACCACTTCAATAAAATAGCCTCATGTGTAACAAAACAACAAATGATTCTCCAGCATAGAAACGTTCACGAGTCATGAATATTGAAGAGATGAATGCTAGAGAAAGCATGGCATGCTAAATCACCATGTTGTGTACTCCTATTGTGGAGAACCACTATGACAGAGCACAGAGGGGGCAGGTGCAGGAGGGGTCATAGTAGAAGTCCTAATATTAGGGGTCAAGTTAGTCTACCGAGCATGACACCAACGAGCTGGTGATGATAGCATCTACCAGAGAATCAGACGCACAACCTCTGTCATGGGGCTTCTAACGCAGACAAGAAAAACAGCAGTGGCGACATGTCAGTTTTTGGTGCTCATGTGAAGACACTGGAGGACCGGGCAGGTTCAGCGACACATTGCCAAACCCCGACAACACCACCCTTGCTGCCCCAAGTGAAATTGGACTCAACCCGAACTGATAAACATACTGTTCAATGTGGTCATACAGATACCAACTTCTAAGAATTGCAGCAACACAATTAGAATGTGACGTTCCCATTGTTACCTATTTTTCACAGTAAAAAGTTCAGAAGTTAACTTACTTGTTCAATAGTCATTAAGCCTCCATTTAGTGTAAAGTGTACCTCTGGGAAGTCCCGCAACAAAGCATAATAGTACTCATATCTGCAACGATATCCACAAGAAAGCCAGCAAATTATAAATTGAAATACTACTGAAGCATAACATTTAATAAAGGTGACTCTAATACGAATTCCAACATAGCAACCTATTAAGAGGTACAAAGGCCAGTATCAACTAGTCAGAACTCAGCCTTCCCCAGAAGTAAACTTCCATTACTGATAATACAGTCTGGGTATGTAAGCACCAACAAATTAAGCATGACTATTTCGACAAGCAAAGCTGGAACCACATAATAGTATCAGCATGGCGCATAAAGGGATGATTCTTAGTGTCAACCATTTATTACTATTTGTACCTATGTCTTGTGGGCTTTAAGGATATTGGTGTTGCCATTGTGTATATTCTATGTATATCTTTGCATGCAAAATGAAAATGGAATCAAGCGCAAACATACTTTAAAGGAGGAACCTTCCGATTCTCCGCAGGACTGAGGCCACTGAGCAACGCCTTCCGAGCATGGATAATAAAATGCCTGGTTGGTGACTTAGAAACAACTTTATCTACAAATGTACCTGGTGAAATGTGAAAACAAGTTAATTGCGCTTATTAAAAACATGTCACTATATGTCAGTAGCCGGTACCCAGCACATGGGAAAATATGTAACCATCAAGATAGAGACGAACTTCCAAAGAGAACTGGAAAATCAATAATAATCCTCTATAAACAAGCTAGCTAACTATACATGTATAAACAAAAATCCAGAACTAAGGCACTGAAAAAATGTGCGTTTAGCTCATGATTAATTGTTTTTTAAGATTATATTATAGGTTTACTTATTCTGTAGTTACAAAAGCATATTATTCGATTGCAGTGCACAAATTCACTTCCTAATATCTGGAAGACTTTAATGGAAAATTGAGATACTTAGAAGAGAACTCACAAAGTTCTTCGTAGGAGTCACGATCGTCAACTCCAATTCTGCATTTAACACTGACAGGGACATCACAATTGGCAGCAATAGCTGACATAGCATCCCCTACAAACTTCAGGAATCGTATCAAGTTTTATGCAGGAGCAGAAGGAGCAAGCATTCATATTACACCATGGTTTTGTAGTTCATGAGGCAAACCTCTGGATCATACATTAAGCGAGCACCGAAGCAACCGTGGCCAGCAACTTTGCCGCTGGGGCAACCACAACTAACACAAAAGTCCACAAGAATTTGTAAATTATACAAAACTGTAGAATGTACTGCATAATCAGGTGAGACATGACTGAGGCTGTTACTTCAGGTTGATCTCATCATATGCATATCCACTTGCTAATTCAGTTGCCTTTGCCAAATTGTCAAGATTACTTCCACCAATTTGTAACACAATAGGATGCTGTTCAGCAGGAAATGCTAAAAATCTATCCTGCATATTTTGAAAATTAAAATTACATACCAACTTTGCATATGATTGGTGAGTATAATGATATAAAAATGGAGTACATCCACTTTATTGATTCATTCATTTCCAGAAAACAACAGCTGCCAATGATAAATACAAATGAAAACTAAGTCATACTAGTGATTTACATAGTAATATCAATCAATACTGCAGGCATGTTTATCAAATTGAGGTAGCTCCTACACATGTCAGCTACAACATAGGAAGTCCACTGCTGCTTTATCATGTAAAAACAATGAAGGATCATTTATCGTGCTTCCAGTGGTGGAATATGACTTCATAAATTCTTGGGTGCTATTCATCAGACTTTACATGATGGTATTGCATGAAATTTTGACTTAAACAATATTCATTTCTAGGAAAAGCCGACTGAAGGTGAAGTCACCTTATTTAACTGTTCAGGCTTACTCCAATTTATGTAAGAATGTAGATACAGATTAAAACTAGATGTCTGAAGTTTAACCGAACTGATTTCTAAACAGAATATGAAGCACATACTGAGGTTCAGCAGAATGTCATCATTGGTTCTAAAATAACCCAATGGACAAGTCAAGTTCAAGTCCACAATGAGATAGATTTTGGTCAGTGACTCAAAAAAGTACTTCAGATAGCTCATAACAATTTAAAATAAGTGCATGGTGAAAAGCACAGCAGAGGAACTATATTACACATAATCAATTACTGTGAAAACAAGGCTGAAAATTGCACATGTCTTAAAAGAATTCATGAGCTGCATGACTAGTACACACATAATGAAACTGGAGAATACACATGACTAAAATTTAAATGCAACCAGATTTACCACATAAAGCACACCATCTGATAGGTTATATCCTCAAAGCTATGATGCATTGTGTATATTCTTAACCAACTATTTTAAGAGTGTTTCTCTTGTGATCTCTTCAAAATGGTTAAGGGATATGATAACTGGCTATCTCTGAATAAATTGTAAATATAACCTTATCTAGAGCATATGACCAGTCCGAGTCTACCATCTGTTTGTCTTTAGTAACAGATAAACATCACGCTCTCTACAGAAGTTGTTGCTTGTGAGTTGTGAGTAACTATCTGTGCACGTCACATTACTGGCCTCTACTTCTCGCACAAACTCCATTGATCATAAGAAAATAATTCTTATTCTTGTACAAATTTAAAATTCTATGGTCGACGAACTTGCCATATTAAGTGGTATGTGGTCAAGAAAACGGTGGTTATGTAACTATTATCGTATGAGTTCCCTATTTCTATGGTCGTGGAGTTTGGTGTGTTACCTCATCCGTGATCACGCTAACAGTCAGACATAACATGGGTTGTACCATGGCGCCAGTGAACGAAATATGCAGCACAACTGCGTTTAATATGGTATTTTCCCACCAGTGCATTAATTTGCACGCCTCTCCAAGAATCTCCCTCATCACTTCTCAAATATGTTTCACTTCTCACTGGAAGCTCATGTCATTGTACTGTACAATTTTTTTTTACGCGAAACAGTTACCGTACCTTTTTTTTTTATCGGACCATACATTTGTTACTATACTGCCATTTTGATGCAGCTCAAGTAGTGTAATCAATGCCAACACTTCTAACCCCCATGAATCAAAATATCATAGTCAGATTCGATGAAATCAGTTATCCCAAAGCACTCGAGCTTAATGGCACCCGACCAAGAAAGACCAAAAATGGCTAACTCACCAACTTATCTTTCTGATGCACAATGGTCTCAGCGACCAACATCTCTGTGTATAACCAGGCGTGCCTCGATATCAGCCGCGCGAGCGTCCTGTAGTGGTTGTCTGTCCAGTCCATCATCGGCGCCACGCTGCGGGAGCAGGCGGGTGGGAGCAAGAAAACAAGTATCAGTCAGCTCCGACCATGGCCAGGTACATTGACCAACCCCTAGTCCCTTAGAGATCTGATTCCGCTCACCTGAACAAGGGAGGAAGGTACTCCCCGGGGGGCAGAGAGCTCGCAGCGCCACACGGCCGCAAGCCGTGAGCGTGTGACAAGAACCGCCCGGGCCGGCTGCGGAGGAAGAAGATGCCGGGCTTGGCAGGCACTAGTGACGGGAGCAGGGCGTGCCACGCGGCGGACCTCATCGCAATGGCTATCCGAGTCCCCGCTCCCGCGCGAGGCGGCGCCGCTTCTCGTGCGTTACGCTCGGGTACTGGTGAGTGGTGCGGCGGCTCGTTACAGCCTTGGCCGGTCGATCTGAGGCGGCGGCGGCGGCTGTGCAAGCGTGTAAAGCTGCGGGCCACTTCGAGTTAGGTTAACGGATTTGCAGTGGAAATAAGCTCCGGGCGGGGGAAAAACTGTTTTTTCCTACGCTTTTTTATTCGGTTACTAATGGAATTGAAGCTTATTTACTGTTTTTTCTGGCAAAATGTCAACATGGTGTACTTTATTTTATTTTATTTATTTATTTGCGGAAAAACATGGTGTACTTTATATTAAACTCAAATATGTTACATCATCAACTGTGCTGCCAAAATGGAACTAGGTGCCTCTTTGGTCGGTGACTAAGAGCATCTCCAACAGCTTGTGTATGTGTGGTTGTGTATATATTTATATAGATAATAGTCTAAGAAAATATCATTTCATATGCACAATTAGCTTTTCAGCACATTGTCTATACGTGTAGTCTATATTATCTCTCTTATTATATTTTAGTATTATCTTGTAACTACTAATCCAACTATCATTTTTTAGTAAGTACTCCTTCCGTAAACTAATATAATAGCATTTAGATCACTATTTTAGTAATATAAACATTTTTATATTAGTTTACAGAGGGAATATAATTCAAACGATTTATAATTGCAGTGGTTATAATTCTAACGGACACTTTTCAAATGGCTATATTCCATACCTGTATATACACAGTAAAACATGTATGTTTTGTGTATTGCACGCCTCTCATGGGGCGGCTTCATATCACATATATATACTAGATTGCATGACTTATCATCAAGAGAGATCAAGAGAACCCTAACCGAATCAATACATATCGGCAGGAGATCGTATACCTATACACGGTAATCTATATAAAAGGAATACTTTAACATCCCCCTCAGTTTGTGCGTCGTATGGCAAGAGACACAAATTGGACTGAAATTCGGAGAAGAGCTGCGACGAGAGTCCTTTTGTCATTATGTCGGCATACCGATGAGAATATATCAATCTTGGATGTATTCGTACCCCTATTACTCATTGTTAGGATGGTAACCCCGACAATTTGCGCCCACCTTGGGGCTAGGCGTCAAGCAAACTTTCACGGCGTAGGTGGATTTCTTCATCATCATGTCGGTCGGTGGCGAAATCCATTTCGGGACACTCTCCTTCATCGATGATGACTCCGCGTGGCTTCGCAAGGCCCCGCTAGACGTGGAGGTGTTGCCCGTCCGCGGTGTGACGCATTTCCACGTGTCATCCTATGGGGTCCTTCTCCGGCATCCCTCGGATACATACCGAGTGGCCGCTCGCCCTACCATCGTGCGTCGCCGCAGGCGTTCCGGGCGCCCACGGCTGCAGCGCTGGATCAAGCATGTCGTGGCCACCCAGGTCGCGGCGGAGCATGTGGCAGCTCTCGAGTTCGACGAGCCCGCCCTCGACCTCTCAGATGGGTCACTCGGCGATTCCTCCTAGGAGTCCGAGTGTGAAAGTACCGAGTCGACCGCCGAGGTTCTCATGGTGGATAAGTCCGAGCACCGCGCGCCCCCGGGGTACACGAACGACCGTGACGGCCGCGCGGGTGCGTCACACGGCAACACTGATGGCGGTGCCGCGGGCCACGAGCCGTACGTGACACAAGCTCTCACCCGGGAGCAATGAGACGAGCTCCATCGCAGGAACAAGCAGCTCCTGAACACCCCCATCACCGGGACGACCCCGAGGCGTTGGCCATGGAGTCGACTCGCCTGGCCACTCTGGCCGAGCGCGATCGCCTTGAACGGCTTCAGAGGGAGCTCGACAAACGTGAGCGCCGTCAACCAAGTTCCAGTCGGCAGAAACGCCAGCTCTTCTCGAGTGACCATCCTCGTAAGTACCGAGTCCCCAGTACTCCATTACAAAACCTAGCGGCTGCCACTTGGATCGCGGATTCCATCCAGCCCTCTGGCTCTGCGGCCGGGGAAGGAATTCGGCAGATCCAGGCGCTCCTGAAGATGGTGATGTCACAAAACACAGTGGTGTCCCAGTCTAGAGATCAGGTCCACAGCGCATCAGTGCATGTGGAGACCATTCAATTGGCTCATAGCACAATCGGCTCCGGCGGGCACTGAGCCACTTCCTCCTCAAGATATCACCACGAAGATCGGAGGCGCGTGATACATCCATTTTGCATCATGTTCTCTTAATGTTCTTTATGATGTTTTTATCCATAATAATGCTTTTTGGAGTAATTCTAATGCCTTTTCTCTCATAATATGCAAGGTACACACAGAGAGGGAGAATTTCGGCAGCTGGAAATTTGGACCTGGAAAAGCTACGTCAGGCCACCTATTCTGCACAACTCCAAACAAGCTGAAACTTCACGGAGATTTTTTATCAAATATATGAAGAATATTGGAGCAAATAACTACTAGAGGGGGCCCACCAAGTGGGCACAACCCACCTGGGTGCGCCAGGGAGCCCAGGCGCGCCCTGGTGGGTTGTGCTCACCCAGGCCCACCTCCGGTGCCCATCTTCTGGTATATAAGTCATTTTGACCTAGAAAAAAAATAAGAAGAGGACTTTCGGGATGGAGCGCCGCCGCCTCGAGGCGGAACTTGGGTAGGAGCACTTTTGCCCTCCGGTGGAGTGATTTTGCCGGGGGAACTTCCCTCCCGGAGGGGGAAATCATCATCATCATCATCACCAACAACTCTCCCATCTTGGGGAGGGAAATCTCCATCAACATCTTCAACAACACCATCTCATCTCAAACCCTAGTTCATCTCTTGTGTTCAATCTTGTTACCGAAACTATAGATTGATGCTTGTGGGTGACTAGTAGTGTTGATTACATCTTGTAATTGATTACTATATGGTTTATTTGGTGGAAGATTATATGTTCAGATCCAATGTGCTATTTAATACCCCTCTGATCTTGAGCATGATTATCATTTGTGAGTAGTTACTTTTGTTCTTGAGGTTACGGGAGAAATCATGTTGCAAGTAATCATGTGAACTTGATATGTGTTCGATATTTTGATAGTATGTATGTTGTGATTCCCTTAGTCGTGTCATGTGAACATCAACTACATGACACTTCACCATATTTAGGCCTAAGGGAATGCATTGTGGAGTAGCAATTAGATGATGGGTTGCGAGAGTGACAGAAGCTTAAACCCCAGTTTATGTGCTATTCCGTAAGGGACCGATTGAAGGAAATATGCCCTAGAGGCAATAGTAAAGTTGTTGTTTATATTTCCTTATATCATGATAAATATTTATTATTCATGCTAGAATTGTATTAACTGGAAACTTAGTACATGTGTGAATACATAGACAAACAGAGTGTCACTAGTATGCCTCTACTTGACCAGCTCGTTGATCAAAGATGGATAAGTTTCCTAGCCATGGACAAAGAGTTTTCATTTGATAAACGGGATCACATCATTAGAGAATGATGTGATTGACTTGACCCATTTGTTAGCTTAGCACGATGATCATTTAGTTTACTGCTATTGCTTTCTCCATAACTTATACATGTGCCTATGACTATGAAATTATGCTACTCCCGAATACCGGAGAAACACTTAGTGTGCTATCAAACATCAGAACGTAACTGGGTGACAATAAAGATGCTATACAGGTGTCTCCGATGGTATTTGTTGAGTTTGCATAGATCGAGATTAGGATTTGTCACTCCGTGTATCGGAGAGGTATCTCTCGGCCCTCTCGGTAATGCACATCACTATAAGCCTTGCAAGCAATGTGACTAATGAGTTAGTTACGGGATGTTGCATTAAGAACGAGTAAAGAGACTTGCTGGTAATGAGATTGAACTAGGTATTGAGATACCGATGATCGAATCTCGGGCAAGTAACATACCGATGACAAAGGGAACAACGTATGTTGTTATGCGGATTGACCGATAAAGATCTTCGTAGAATATGTAGGAACCAATATGAGCATCCAGGTTCCGCTATTGGTTATTGACTGGAGATGAGTCTCGGTCATGTCTACATAGTTCTCGAACCCGTAGGGTCCACACGCTTAACGTTCGGTGACGATTGGTATTATGAGTTTATGTGTTTTGATGTACCGAAGGTAGTTCGGAGTCCCAGATATGATCACAGACATGACGAGGAGTCTCGGAATGGTCGAGACATAAAGATAGATATATTGGAAGCCTATGTTTGGACATGGGAATGGTTCCGGGTGAATTCGGGCATATACCGGAGTACTGGTAGGTTACCGGAACCCCCCAGGAAGTATATGGGCTTTATTGGGCCATAGTGGGAGAGAGGAGAAGGGAGCCTAGGAGGGAGCGCCCCCCAAGCCCAATCCGAATTGGGTGGGGGGTTGGCCCCCCCTTTCCTTTCCACTCTCTCCCCATTCCTTCCTCTCCTAATGTTGGAAATATGCCCTGGAGACAATAATAAAATGGTTATTATTATATTTCCTTGTTCATGATAATTGTCTATTGTTCATGCTATAATTGTGTTATCCGGAAATCGTAATACATGTGTGAATACATAGACCACAACATGTCCCTAGTGAGCCTCTAGTTGACTAGCTCGTTGATCAATAGATGGTTACGGTTTCCTGACCATGGACATTGGATGTCATTGATAATGGGATCACATCATTAGGAGAATGATGTGATGGACAAGACCCAATCCTAAGCATAGCACAAGATCGTGTAGTTCGTCTGCTAGAGCTTTTCTAAGTGTCAAGTATCATTTCCTCAGACCATGAGATTGTGCAACTCCCGGATACCATAGGAGTGCTTTGGGTGTACCAAACGTCACAACGTAATTGGGTGGCTATAAAGGTACACTACAGGTATCTCCGAAAGTGTCTGTTAGGTTGGCATGAATCGAGATTGGGATTTGTCACTCCGTATGACGGAGAGGTATCTCTGGGCCCACTCGGTAATGCATCATCATAATGAG